CTTTCCCTTATTTAAACAGATACTAAATAAAAATTAAAGCTACTACCTACAAACCATTGAAAGAAAGTCTTCTAGGACAATTAGATTAGAACTCACCGCTAAAGTTTTTGAGGACAAGGATTGTGCAAGTCTCAACAATCTAGATGCCTCTTTGCAAATGCAGATGCATGGGGTCTCAACGATATGCTTCCCCTTACTTGACAAGGGCTGCAAAATCAGCTTTACTCAATTTACACAAGTCACATTTTGCAACAAAAACACCTGATCCAAAAGCTTAAGCATATCAAATACAGGAATAAAAACAAAAGCATAGGAAATAGAAACTTCTGCAAAGAATGGAAAGTAAAAATAAAATTGTAAAATATATCCTTCACCAAGCATTCTTCTCTCAACTAGGTTAAAACAAAGTATTGTGGAAGGAAGAAACAAGCCACTTGTAAATGTACAAAATTTGGAATGGCTATGGTTTGATATGACATTTATCTTCACTCATGAGTAAACACTTGCTAACTCACTTGTGGCTATGCCACTTGTGATTTATCAGTCTACTCACTCCTGAAGATAAATGTCATATCAAACCTCAGCTATCATGTAATCTGGCAGCATTAACTTACAATGTTCATGCTTTTATGGGCCTAGAATTCATATTTACTATTGTTTACCATGCTATAATAGTAACAGTCACAATTTTTCAACAGTGCCTCAGAATTTGCATAAGCAATTATCTTTCCTCCAAAATTAAAAAAAGTTGACTTTTTAAAAACTCAGCATGTACTTTAATGTTAATACGACAACAATATTGTTCCATTGTGTGTATGTTTTCAAAGAAGCAATGAATAAAAATAAAACCAAAAGCCACTGGATCACTTGTCCTACCTGCTCACTAATTTATGATACAATTCTTCCTGCAGTATTTCACCTCATCTAATTTTGAATGTTTTCAATGACAGCTTTTTCATCACTGTCTTTGGGAGCCTGATCTACCGTCTAATAATCTGTCGTAGTGTAAGGATATTTCACCTCATATAGTGCCTAAATCCTACTTTGCTTAATTATATCTTGTTATTCGTATTTATACTCTCTTAGACCGCTCTAAATAATTCATCAATATACTTTGAAGTTTAAACCCTTAAAATATTTGTAATGGTTTTTATGATCCCCTTTAGTCAGTGTTTGACCAAGTTACATGTATTTAATTCTCTTAAGCTTTTATTTTAGCCTTTGCTTTCAAGTCTGTCCTCTAATTGCCATCTTTTGCTACTGGTTTCCAAACAGCATTCATTGCCAATATCGTCCTTATATTAAGGTACAGCCCACAAAATTATGACAGTAAAGTCCATGATAACAACACAGAAAACTACTAGGCTGTATTTCATATGGGCATACAATTTGTCAAGTACAGGCTTTGTTCCTGTTAATGGATCCCTGACGTCTACTGCTCAACAGCAATTTTTATTTAAGTTTTATTGTACACCAAATTCCAAGTCAGTGAGTAGATCTTTATTAGTTCATTAACAGAAACTGCTCCTTTTATCCAAATAGCCGTCTTTTACTCTTCCATTTCTAAGCTGCCTTGCACACAGGACAAAAAGAAAATTATTTCCTGCGAGTTACTAAAATGTGTACAAATTACAATCATTCAACAACAGAAAACTGATGCCAGAAAAAGCTTAAGTAGAGAATTAAAAAGCAAAGCATAACATCCCCATATAACATAATGTTCATTTTGCTGTTGTATCTTGTTTCCAAATTCCATTACTCTATCTCACCTTTTGGGAGCCTCCAACCACTATGACAGTCCCTGGAAAAGTGTTAGTAAATGTTTTAGCAAATACTATTCCAATGTAACTTAGAAGATGGTAAAATCTCCCCTCTGGACACTGTGCACAATTTTCTGCAGCAACAATGGTCCAGATGTGTTTCTACACATCTTTCCTAATCCTAGACCTGCACAAATATTTATATTGCTTTGCATATAATTAAATGTTTTAATTAAGATTAGGAAACTTGGAATTTCTTACTGTTTCTTTATAATTTAAATTTAGTAATTGGCTTCAACCTCCAGGAGTACTTTCCCTTTACAATGTAGTGTCAACACAATATATAAAGTGCTAATCGATCTCCATTACTCATCAATCTACTTACAATTTCAACACATTTTATAAAGAACATCTCTCTCTCTCATAAAAATTTTGTCTGCTGTATTAACACCCAGAACAAGACAGGTAATATGTGCATATATAAGGCACCCTAAGAATGACAATTTAGACAAACTTTGAACACTGCACTTAGAACAATTAAAAAAATTGATTGCTGGTTTATCTCATTAGTGTCTCATCAATAAAACGTTAGCCTAAGATTATTCCCCTTTTCCCTAGCTAGAAGTAGTTACCAGTACTAACAGCACTATCTAGCCCTTCAGAGCATAGCTTTTTCATAGTTTTGGAATGCGATTCCAATACTTCACAAAACAGGTAAATAAAAGAGTCTCCTCTATCATCTCCACTAACACTACACATTTTAACGCTGAAGTCTCCTTTGCACAATCTACATTGCATGCTGAACAGCATACATAGAGTTCCCATGTTGCAAGATACCTCAATGTAACTGGAAGGAGCATCACTATATCCCAGCCCTTTGTAAAACAGAAAAGTCAGAAGAAAGGAACAGCTAACAGATTCTCCACATTTTGAAAGAAAGTAGACCACTATAAAGGGGCTGGTATGAAAGGAACTATATTCCAAAACAGGCTTGCCCTTCTGCAGCTGGACAGTTTGAAAAGCCAGCTGGAACTCTCTCCATTGAGCTTCAGGCTCGGAAAATCTGGAGCTCAGCCAGTTTCCTCCATCAGTGCTGGCCACCCTTAGGCAAGCCAGCTGTAATCTTCCTCTTCCGGACAAGTCCCAGGCAAGATGGCCAGCAGCTCTTTGCTGTGCTCTGATTTTGGGGAGCACTAAGAAGTGTGAAGAGTGTGATCGCTGTCACCACAGAAAAGTAAATACAAACAATTAATAGTGTGATATGGAGATGATGCTGCGTTGTCTACTTGGCACCTGAGTTGATGGTTGTTGTGGTATGTAAGATTTTTTTAATGCAGTAACTCTTACCGTCTGATGCTGCGTTTTTCTGTGTAGAACTTACGTGAGCGCCAATAATAAGTGCTTGGTTAACGTAATGTTTGGTTCTATTAACTAACTACTGATAAATTAAAAGCAAATACAGAAAGACAGTTTTGCAATAAAGCCAATAAATTATAATTTTTAATGTATTCACCTCATCCTAAATATTTTCTAGAAAAGGTATAGTATTAAGTATAGTTTTGCTCTGCAGAGTTTGCTACCTTTTGAAAACATAGTGGTCATTTCATGTACCCAGTAAGATGAAATTTCAGTCCTAGACCTATGATATCCAGACAGAGAAACAACTTCTTTTGTCCATCAGATCAATCTCCACAATATATTACTTTAGCAGTTTTCAGCTCCCTCATATTGCATAGGTACATTGAATAAGATGACAGAGCAACTCTTCACATTCTTAATCTCTCCTCAGGTTAACATCACAATTGCTCGCTTTGAGTATGAATTGACATGTGAGAGAGACACAGAAGGTGTCTCTCCCATAAATTTGGCTTTATCCCATTCAGAAAATATTTCACAAGAACTATAATCATAGGAGTAAGAATTCCTGTGGACTTACTGACACATTTTTGTTCTACATCACTGTTTCTTAAAAGGTGGGGTGCAACTTGCCTAGTAGGCACAGGAGTGTTTAAAGTGGATTACAAAACATTGGAAAAAGCTGTGTTACCTGGCAGTAGGTTAGTCCTAAGATTGTGGCATGAGGTAAGGCTAGACTTACTGGCCGTTTATACTTGTAAGGAACCTGTCAGCTGCTGTCAGAAATTTGCTTTCCCCAGGACAGGGAGTAATTTTTACACCTACTGCCTGTAATTACAGCAAGTTCCTGCTCCCCTAACTTGAAGAACCAAAGTGACTGTCAATTCAGTCTCACGAAACATGGACAAATCAAAAAGAAGTCACAAAAAGTCTGAGGAATGTTTTTCTAATTAACACAACAGTCCACAAGGGATGGGAGAACCCATCTCAGAAAAAGGAAAGAATGCAATTGTCTGAACAGAAAGCAGCCAAGTTCAGGTGCAAAATATCCAAATGTCTTGTGTGTATTACAAAAGCCAGAGTCAGACTTAGCAGCTAAGATGTTCTTACACATTAAAACTATGCTCACTAAAGGATGGTAAAATTATATTACTTTTATTTCAAAGTTAGTAGTTTAGCTACTAGAAAGTATTTGCATGGTTCAAAAGACATGGCTCAGATGGCTCAGACGTTTTCAGATTGTGCACTGCTAGTTTTAAATTAAAGCAAAAGAAATATTCTCTCTCTATACACCCTACAAAATTATTTCTATCCTTTACAGAGCCTATAAACTCAAGGATAGATCACTGTAAGGTTTTACATTATCATATGTGCATTTCTGAATCCTGATACTATAAATTTGTACCAACTTGATACACCTTCTGGAACTTGTCAATTTGATTTCAAAACCTGAGTCAACTACTTTACTCATACATACACAGACACCACAGACAAAGAAATTCTTAGACCTTTGCTTGAAGGTTGATAATGCCTGTATAAACTCAAGGCCTTGTAAAAATCCTAAAAATACTTTAATTACAACTGTAAACACACATGCAAGATCCTGTATAACAGCGGGATAAATTTACCACACTCAGTGAGTAACTGGCTGTGTAGTTGCCTTATCGATAGTGCCTTTGAAATTAGTGAGTCTAAGTACGTAATACTCCAATATGCACAATGATATATTTCAGTAAATAACAAAGTATGGCACTATTTCTAAACAAGACATGCTGGTACAGTACAATTTTTCTTCTACAAAATTTTATAACTATGCGTAGAAGAGTTTAAAATGAGATAAGAGTTAATTTTAATGCAAACTAATCTATGCAAAGCAGCATACCTAATGACATACTAAAAATTATACTCTTGCCTGTAAGTCTTGAAAAGTTTTCTGTTCTAGATTTGTAATTAACTCAAATTCCACTGTGCTTACATAACAATATGATCTAAACTAATGGTTGACCATACATGTGAACTGCCATAAAATGAGGTACTACGATATATCACAGAATACGATACAAACAAAAAAATATTTGCACAAACAAGCTGCAATAAAAGTAACATTGAAAATTGCTATTCAGTTTGTTAAGAAGTTCTCTTTTATACTACAGTACCTACCAGTTGAGAACTCTGATTTGACTGTACCACCTTAACCTGAGGAGGCTGCACTGTATTTGATACAGAGACTGTGCAAATGTTGTTCGGTTGCCTTATTCCTATTGTCTGCGTTGTGACAACAGAGGAAATGCTTCCAGAGGCAGATTGAGGTATAACTTGCGATAGCTTGGTTTGTTGAAGTGACTGCTGAGACGGTTGTCCTTGCAAAACTGAATGTTGACTATTCAGCAAAGATTGTCTCAATGCAGGTAGACTTTTCTAAAAACAGAAAGTTTATGAAATACCAAATTTATCAGGTTGACAAAAAGTATTTTTAAATTTACTGTAAACATAATTAGGACAATGCAGCTCTCTTTACAATTTTATTATCTGCCTATTCATCAAAGAAATAAGACTGAACATATTTTGTAAGAGAGAAAGTTCAGCTTACATTTTTAATAAGCTTTCAATTTGGATTTAGCAACCCTGTGCCCTAAAAGTGCCCCAATTCCACCAGAGCAGTAAAATGTAACAGTCCCCTCCTCAAGACTATCTAGAACCTGTAGTTTAGGTTTTTGGAAGGGCAAAAAAATGGAAACAGAAAAGGAAGAACCATAGGAACAACCCTATTCCCATTGCATGCTAGAAGAAACAAGCTGCACCAATTTACTACTTCTGACATGCTTCCAGTACCTAGAACAAGACGATTTAACTGTTGATGCCCTACAGCAATAGCTGTTTACTGTGTTATTACTGATCTAATATATTCTGACTGGATTAGAAAAGTGTACTATTGTACACTTCATGTTCAGACCAGTTCAACTAAAAAATACAGTTCTAAAAGACTATACTGTACCTTCACGAGTAAACTTTTTAAGTGGTAGTAATGTTCTTTTGAAGTGCTCCCCCAGGCAGCTGTAGAATGCAACAGTGTTTAGCCCAAGCTACAGTCCTTTCTAAACTTCTAATATTTATTTAAAAACTTAATGCCTGTTGCCAAGAAAGGACTTCAAAGAAAGCAAACAAGTTAAAACTTATTATGATGCTAGAAGTGACTGCAGTATAACAACAGGAAAAGGCACAAAAAGGGTTAATGATAACTTGAAAAAACAGAAGCAGAGGGAGAGAGTTCTGAAGAAAAGTTGAAGGGAGAGAAGAAAGAGAGGAAATCTGCCCTGAACTGAGAAGTTTTGGACTAGAAGAAAAATACTTTTAAAATTATAGTTGTTGTTCTGTTGGGGCATAATTAAACACACTTTGTATGTTTGTGTATAATCTTGCATATGGAAGCTATTGTAGCTAATGTACCAGAACCAATCATAAGTTAAATTTAAAACCACGTATGCTAACTTAGGACCCAACAATAAATCCATTTGGTATCACATTAGAACTTCTGTTATAGATAGTTCCAGATTACAAATAGGATCAGCTAATCAATTATTTCAACAGCATTATCCAGTTTAGTTTTTCCATAATCACTGTTACATATGCATTGAAAGTTATCAACAACTCAAATGTAGATTACAAAAATAATATGGAAAAGGCTTATTAAATTACTTGAAGCATTTTATAGAAATAACTTGTGAGTCTTCCGAATGTGAATGCTGTACTTCTTCACAAAACTTGTGAGAATTGCCCACTACCACAGAAAAGTATATGCATTGTAACAGTAAAGAATTGTTACAGAATAGACAATGGATGACTTCCAAACTAGAGAGTAACTGCTTTTTTATATAAATCTAATTACTACAACATTCTAGATCAGAGCTACTCAAGCAGTAAACTCCAGATTAGTCCTGGATGACAAATAGATTTTTCTTAAACCTAAATCAAGGCCCCAAACACATGAGGTTGTCCTCCTGTATGAAAGCCCTATTTCTTACCATTACCTCAACCTGTCAGGGAGCAGACAGCTGCAGCACAGACACAGCTCCCAACTACAAAAGCAGTAAGCAGCACCTGGCTGGCCTGACAGAGATGGAGCCTGCACGTGACTTCCAACCAAGAAGATTTCAGCAGAAATTGGCAGCACAAAGTAAAAACTGAGAAGTTCTGCTCTAGAGAGGTAAAGCTCATTTTAGGTGAAAAGTATATTCTAAAACTTAATGTATTGAGATTTGCACTGAAATAAACTTATCTAAACAATATTCACATTACCTTAAGGAAAGGTACAAGATATGGCTGAGGAGATGATTTGAGTTCTGACTGAAGGCGGCCTGTAAATTCTTCTGGATCAATCTTTGCATCCTTCAGGGAGAAGAAAAAAAAAAAAGCATCAACAACTCAGTTCAGTTAGTTGGTTGTTTTTTTCCCAGATAATATATATGTATGTATCTCTAGCTAAATAGCCTACCGTACCAAGAAGAAGTTTCAAAGCTGAAGTCCCTCAGGTCCTCTCAATCTATAAAATCCTTCTGTCAAGAGCTAATTTATATATGTAACATACCACTCAGAATTCAGGGAGTTCCCTTGGGGATGCACAATTTAAGACACAAGGAGATCCCACAAACACTCAAGTCTTTTTTGGGATTCCATTCTCTTGCTAACATTTACATAGTGAGTTCTTATAAAAAAATATTAATTAAAAAAACAGGTTGTTGAAGTAACCCTACAAACTACTATAAAATTTTTCAGCCCTTGTAATAAGAAAATTTCTTTACTTAATTCCAAAACCAATTTTGAAGGTTCAATTTAACTTAGTAGAAAATGTGTATGTGTATATATAAAACTATATGTAAAGCATATAAAAAAATATACATATAAATATATAGAAAATTTTCACCTATATAAATGTGTGTGTATATATATTGTGTCTACTCACAAAATAGAAGCTTATAAATATATGAAACATATATTCAGTAGTTTATTTAGTAGTTAATACAGGAGAACTCTATCATCCAGGTGTATTTTATAATACTTCTCGAGTATTGTTAGTTACAATCTCAGGTTGTAATCAAACATTCATTAGCTTTCCTGGACTATAGAACAAGAACAAAAACATACCAACCAAAACAACCTTTAAAAAATGTATTTATTATATATGTGTCTCATTACTTCATTTAAAATATCATAAGTAGTTACTTTTACTTAGTTAATATTTCTTAGTTTTTAAGAGTTGAAATGAGTTTTTACTGGAACCACTGAATATTATTGCTGAATGGCTCATACCTGAAAAAAGTCTTAGGCTTGTCTAAAATACATAGGTTTCTCTGTCAATGAATTCAAAGACATATATATCAACTACTTTTAAATCCAAGATCTTCATAGACTGTATTTAATTTATTTTAAGAAGCTTGACCATTTGTCCAGCTCCACAGTAACATCTGTCCGCAACGCATTTATACAATTCACTGAAACATCTGTTGCACTGGAGACTACAGTTCAGTCAGACTTTTTCCAGCCCAAGGACTCTGTCTTGCTGAAACACAACTTTGCTTCTTGAAATCCACTTGCAGTTAAGGCTCCATGCAGGGCATCTGTCTGCAAAACTGCTTGGACTCAGCAGCTTAGCAAAATACTTTTCCTTCAGTCCTAGAAACTCTAACCCGCGTTGTGGAGGCATGTTATCTACATTCATCCTATGAATAAAAAATTTAATAGCTTCTTCCTGTTTCAGAGAAGACCATGGTTTGGAGGGAAAACAAACTTAATAAATCACCAAGGAAAAAATCCCGTAGTTCACTCTATTTTTCTAAATAAATGACCAAAATATTATCCATCAGAGCGTTTTTGATGAATGCATACTAAATACTTGGATGCACTTCTCCTTTCAGAAACTAAGAGAAAGCCTACCTTTAACACATTTTTTTAAGTAACATACAGAATATTTGCATTTTGATGTAGCTCAGCTGCTTTCATTTTCATTACAGCAAAATAAATTGTTAAGATCAAAGCAACGGTTTTTAGCATACATAAATAGCAAGCTTAAAGGATAACTAAGAAAATGAAAGATAACTAAATATTTACCAACAAATCCTGAACCAGAGCTTTCACATTACGGGATGTTTCTGGAGATGGTGAATTATGAGAAGCAAGTTTTATAAGGGTAGCTAAAAAGTTTTTGCATTTTTTCACATTCTCTTGCATTTCCTGCAAAAGCCAAAGAAAACAAATATCAGATCCATGCTATTTTCCAATCAGGATCAATGCATGCTCTGATCACTATAAATTGGGAAAATGATGAAATTGTTCTAATTCAGGCAGGACATATTTGAAATACATCTGCAGCTATTTTACTATTGCTGCTAGTTACCTGGTATTTTCTTCACTTCTTTATGTAACTGAACATCATACCTCACAGTTACTAACAAAAAAATCAATGAAAGAAATATATTTAATATTTTACAGTCTGTTTCGATAAAAATAACCTTAAATATGAGAAGTAACACAATTTATTGGAAATGCATTCTCTTTTGAGATGCCCAATACACAATGTACAATGTTCCCCAAGCTATCTTAATTTGTTAAATTACTGATTCAATATGTTTTTGTACAAAGCAGCTACAGCAGTAAAATCAAATTAGAAATAGTCTTCAGACATCATCTAATGTTTTCTTCATCAGTAGGAAAACAGATGCTTTAATTTTTTCAAGCCATTATTTTTATATGGTGTAATTAGTCCAAGAAACAGAAATGTTACACTTCAGCGCAACCACAGTTTTGAGGCCCAGCAACATGATAGCAATGAAGTCCATAGACTGAAGGCCTGATTGTTCTGTCTACAGAAACACAATAGTTCTTCCACTACTAACACATACACGGCAGGATGGGGAAAGCTGACCACAAGTGTTCTTCCTCCCTCTCATAATTTGTATCCCATTTAGTTGAAATGAGGGGAAATGTTTCTTATTTGTAAAGTATTTGTTCCATCATGGGAAGTGTGTTTGCGTGAAGAAAAAGTTCTTTCTGCTTCTGAATAAACCTTAGAAGTTCAAAAAGTACTGAAAACAACTATCTAGTATTTTAAAACTTACCTGTGATACAACTGTAGTTCCAGGTACAGGAGAGCTTGGTATGACCTGGGGCTGTGCTGGTACTTGTGCTGTTGTGTGAGGTGGAAGTGGCAGCCGAGGCTGACCCTGGTTTTGTGCTGAAGCTTGAGTTTGTCCAGCAGTAATTACTGCAGGTTGTTGAGAAGCTGATGTTCCAGTTGCTACTGTTGTCTTGAATAAATTTTGAGCACTTGTTGTAGCTACTGTTACCTATTAAGATTTTATATTGAAAAAACAGGTAATTATCTCCTTTTAATTCTTTTACTCAACCATAAAGTTCTTGAAAGCCTGACAAGACTCATTTCCTTTCAAATACACCCTTACTGACAAAATAAAAAAATTGACCTTACTTATTATAACCCTAATTTTGTCACCCTTTACTGAGCAGTGAAAGTCCTCATTTGAAGTTCTTTTTATTACAAAAATAAATGCACCACTGAAAAATGAGTTGCTATTACCCAGCCCTTTAAGATCACCATGATGATGTGACTTCTGTAACTCAACTTTCCGTTAATTTAGCCCTTAATATAAACAAGTCAATTCCCAATGATCTGTGATCATGTCATCAGGTTTACAACTATCTATACCACAATGACAGCTCAGATTCAGTTGACACAAACACACTAACACAGCTTCCCAACCTAATCTGAACCCAGCAGCAGCATATACGCTTTTGCACCAGTGCAAAGCCCTAGCAAGCAAAACTGTCCTGGACCTAGCTGGGCCACACGCAAAGACCATGCTGCACACTCCTCAACCTTAGAAGGCTGGAAAACTTACCAGGCTGTACAGAGCACCACGTACACACACCCACCCAGTTCAGCTCTCATACTTTATCTGACTTAGTATGCCACCCTTCCGAGTGCCAAAGCCTGACACATCAAAGCTAGAGAGCTCTGCTATGCAGCATAACACACTGAGCAGAAGCTACCAGGTCGTCCCAATCCAGCCTGACTGCAGAGCTTTGCTCTGTCTTGGGTGCAGATGCAGAACGAGCTGACACAAGCACCTGCACTGCAATGCCACAGGTGATGCCGTGGATCCTGCAGCACTGGTGCCCACACAGCAGACACCACAGCTCTCGACAGGGGACAAATGTAGTGCAGCATGTCCACCACTGACACAGTATTTGAGTCCAGCTGATTTAAGTTTTTCCTTAAAAAAAAAACAAACAACTTAAAACTGAATCTACGCTACCCCCCAAATTTTTATCATCTAGGAAACAGTAGAAAGTAAGATTTAGGCTATCACTCAGCACCTGCATAATACAGTCTGACTATACATTCATTATTAATTTCTGGGATTACATTTGTGATAAAAGCAAACTTGTGAACATTAAAATTCACTGTTTAAAAAACATGTAATTACAAACATCCATTTCTTCACCCCTGTTTTGCTTTTTGTATTCTTACTACTTACTGTGGTATGTGAAAGAATAGAACCTCCTGGCAGAGTCGCAGCAGATGTAGCACTGACAGGTGTAGCAGTTGATTGAACAACTTTGGCTTGCACTGGAAGTCCTAGGCGAACAGTAGATGTGGCTACAGAAGTTGGTTGCTAATAAAGGAAAAATAAGCATTTTATTTTTTTCCTCCTTAGTAACTTGATCTCCAAGAATTTTTAACAATAGTGATTACATGAATAATGATTAACAACACTGCAAAAAAACCCAAAAACTGTAATATGTTCTTAAGCATATATTCACAAATAATGCAAAAATGAGCTTTCTTATGTTCAATAATATGTTTGCAATGTTTCTCCTAAAAGCTATTTCTCACACAGGTATGTGGAAAAGATTAGAAAAAACAGGATGTGACCTGCAAAAAAACTGATGTTACATTGATGTATTAGTTCAGTTGTAGTATTTACATGTCAGTTATTCATCAATATTTGAGTTTATAATTGCCAGTAACACATATTGGTAATTTTGGTACTTACTGACCTTTTCCAGCACTTTTTCTTGAAGAAAATTAACATGGAGAGAAAATTCAGAAAGTAGAAAAATATTTTCAAAATAATTACAGATTAAATTATACAGAAAATAACCTGCACAGAAATGAAGTCTAAGCATTTTGAGAATCTTTGTCATAGAATGCACACTCTGTAACCAGATAGAAGTTGGAATGTTAAATGCAAAGGAAAGTGATTGGCTTACAGACTTTCACTCAGTAGCTTACAGACTTTACAACTCAGTAAATTTGCCTCATGCAGCAAACATATTAATTGTTTTTGTAATTTACTTTAATTAGGAGAGAGAGATTGAAATCTCTTGCCATCATATAAAAGGACAAGATTTAGGAATAAAAGATATATCCAGGAAAGTTGTTATTTAATTCTACATGAATGTAAATACCATTATGAAAGAAATACATCTCACAATATGGCAATTTTGGCAAAAAGAGAAACACTCATTAGTAAAAATAGAGGCCCCACTGGTCTCTTATAACTTGCACTTATTAAGATTTGCATTCAAATACATACTTAGAAAAGACAAATTTTCTAAGCAGCTGGAGTAATAAATCATGGGCAATATTGTTTTGCACAAGATAAAATTAATTTTCTTTGATTTACATTTTAAGTTATGTTTTTATAAAGAATGGCTTATTTTAGATTCTTAAACTGTCTATTAAACCTACATAAAATACTTCTTCAAAGAACATCCAGTATACTTAAGAGATCTCCAAAAGGAACCAAGGCCCAGGCAAGCATTCAAAGCCCCAAGCATTCCTTACCAATCAGTTCAGCAACAACATCTATTGGATATCAATCTTCTGTACTTG